ACCATCTGAAGGGCTTTAAACCAGGGATGCGGAGCCGGAGCCGGAGTCGGAGCCGGAGCCGCCGGAGCCGGCATATTTTGCCCGGAGCCGGAGCCGGAGCCGGAGCCGTGAAACAATATAGACCGGAGCCGGAGCCGGAGCCGGAGCCGCCAAAAAAGGGGGCGACTCCGGCTCCTTTTTATTTTTTGAAGAGGAAAAAAATAATTGACCTAGTTCGGTTTGACAGTACAAGGCAGTGAAACATATGGTATGTTCTTACGTCATGGGCCATCAAGTGAATGAAAAAAGCCGAATATCCCCAGTATCCCACAGTACGCAATCAACTTCCTGTCTGCTCCTCCCCCCCCCCCCACCCACGTCTACTGCATCCCCAGAACATGAGGACCGGTCATCAGGTGACGGCCATTGTTTTCAAGCCAGTGCAGTGGACTGCGACTCCCAGCACCGTCTCTGCCGAGACGGGTGTCAGCTTACGATGGTTCAGTGAACTCCGATTCGCGGCGACTGCGTTTCCAATGCCATCGCTTCCTAGTCCTTGTTCTGCCAGTTCTCTCCGAGGTGCGTTTACGCGGGGACGCGGTCATGAGCCGGTCATGGCAAAGAGTAACGCGTATAACCAATCCAATTTTTCTTCCACCCGTATTTAATTGATTGCATAGGGGATGTACTGAGTCGGAGCCGGAGCCGCCGGAGCCGGAGCCGCCGGAGCCGGACCATTTTACTCGGAGCCGGAGCCGGAGTCGGAGCCGCCATAACATTTCACCCGGAGCCGGAGCCGGAGCCGGAGCCGATTTTTTTCTCCGGAGCCGGAGCCGGAGCCGGAGCCGTCTGAAATTTCCACGGCTCCGCATCCCTGCTTTAAACTGATGTGCTGCTCTCCAAATTCAGTGAACTTTTTATGGCTATATCAGCAAAACATTGTTTTCAGCGCTTTTTCCTGCCCCATTCCTTCTGAAACCTGGAACCGCTTATTCCATTTACTCCTGCCATCTGACGATGGTCGTGCTGACTACTAGTTCCGGCGCTAGTTACTGCTCCAGTTTTGCACCCGGCACAAACTCAGGCGGCACCGCGCCGAAGCTCGACCAGGGAGGGTCGGACCGAGCCGACTGCCTGGGGCGCGGTTAGATCGGACGCCCTGCTGGGGAAGGGGACGGGAGTGAGGGGGAGGGGAGGAGGTGGTCACGTGGTCCGTCCAAGCTCGCAGACGACCTGTCCTGCGCCCAGCCATGTTCCGTGATCCAAAATGGCACGAGAGCTGTGGAATGCCTGGAAGAGACGCTTCGAAAGCGAACTTCAGCAGCACTAATTTACCATATTCTATGGAGATAAATGAATATTATCTTAATGCAGAAAAAAATGTATGCCTAAGCTGTATAAGCTGTATCTGTCTGGGAATCAAAGCTCTCCCATCCATAGGCGGCGGAACGATTTGAGACAAGGGGGGGCACCATGGCTCAAGGAGCCAAACCTAGGGTACCCCCAAATCCTGTTTTCTCATCGGATTTAGGCCACTTATTTTTCGTCACAGCCCTGACACGATGATTTTTTTATTTTTATTTTTTTTTTTTACTAAACGAAAATGGCAGTTCACCCCCGTATGCAGGGTTGTACCTAATTTTATATCTCTTTGTGGGGGCATATGCACCCACAATCCTGAATTATGCCCCCACAATGATGAAAAAGCACCCACAAGTCTTTTACAAGGCTGCAAGCGTCCTTTCGAGAGCACGGTGCCCTTCGCATGCTCTAACGGCGTCCTCCTGACCGTCTCGCGTTCATGCGTTTTTAATCACTCGGCGCCCTTCTGGGAGAATGGCGCACTTTTGACAGCACCGCGCCATTCTCATGGTCTAACGGCGCCCTCCTGACCGTCTCGCGTCCTTAGGTCTCTGTTCACCGTGCATCCCTCGACTATTCGGCGCCCTTCTGGCCTCTCAGCGCCCCTGAACCACATATAGCGTTTTCAATCACTCGGCACCCTTTTACGAGAATGGCGCCCTTTTCATGATCTCAAGGCGCCCACGTAACCATCTGGCGCCCCCACGTCCCCACCAACGTAGCACTACTGACTGTGCGGCGCCCTTCGCGCCCCTGGACCACATAGCGTTTTCAATCACTCGGCGCCCTCCTAAGAGAATGGCGCCCTTTCGTCTCACGGCGCCCTCGTAAGTCGTAACCGTCTGGCGCCTCCACATTTGGTGCCCCTCCTACTGGATGGCGCCTCTCTACATATTTTTTACGTCCTTCCGGTCAGTTTCTGCACTTTTAAGCGTGTATTTGCTTAGTCAGACACGTCACTTGAAGCGCCATTCGGCTAGCAATGTTATCAAATTCGGTGTTAATTTAGGCTCCCACATAAAGAATATCTATCGCGCCCCAAAACGGCCTGGCGCCGGGCGCCCCTACAGCTGGGCACCCACAATCATTTTAGGAAAATTACACCCCTGCCCGATGTGTGGTTAACTTTAAGCTGATCCTCAAGTACCTATGTGTTTCATGTTTGTCTCTTCCTTATTGTCGTTTGATAAATTCCATTTATCCTACATGTATAATTCCCAAGAAGCCATCGCAGTACTAATCAGTGGCGAATCCCAGGGTGGAGGTCACATGGGTCATGACTTAGGGCCTGGGGTCACCACATGCCTGCCAGGAGCACCACAGGCCTGACAGCCGACAGGGGCACCACAGGCCCGCCAGGGGTGCCAAAGGCCTAGCAGGGGCACCACGGGCCTGTCAGTGGCACCACAGGTCTGTCAGGAGCACCATCGGCCTAGCAAAAGCACTACAGGTCTTCCAGGGGCACCACAGACCTGCCAGGGGCACCAGAGGCCTGTCAGGGACACTATCGGCTTCGCAGGGGAACCACCGGCTTCGCAAGGGCACCATGGGCCTGTCAAGGGCACCACAAGCCTGTCGTTGGCAATTTAGGATTGTCAGAGGCACCACAAACCTGTCAAGGGCACCTGCGTTCTAACAGGGGCACCACAAACCTGCCAAGGCCCAGGGACACCACAGGCCTAGCAAGGACACCACAGGCCTGTCAGGGGCACCACGGGCCTGTCAGGGCCCATGGGCACCTAAGTCATGTCAGGGCCCACCGTAGGCTTGTCAGGGGGCAAGGTAGGTAGGTACCACAGTCTTTCCAGGGGCACCAGCGGCTTAGCAGGGGCACCAGTCATCACATGACTAACCAAAAATAAAGAAAAAAACTGAAAATAGGGCACCACCAAAATTGAGTGGCCGAAATCCGTTGAGGTTTTAATTTTGGGCATAGGTAGGGGCACCACTTCGATTCATGAACCTCCCCTTAGAGTTTTCCCGAATCCGCCCATGGTACTAATACATCAAATTTAAGGGGGGGGGGCACCTTGCTATTGGTGCCCCCCTTGCAGAATTCAAGGGGGGGCACGGTGCCCCGGTGCCCCCCCCCGTTCCGCCGCCTATGCTCCCATCTTCATCACTGATCACAACCGGGAAACATTCGAAATTCAAATTGGGTTTATTGCGCCCTTGAACTTTGACGCATCAATCACCCAAAGGTCTCCCATCACAGGCACGGGAGCCATCAAACCAACAACTGACCGCCACGCAGTCACAACAAATCCAACTCAACATTGCCACGTCATCGCCGCACTCGTCTCAGCTGCGCCGTTCACGTGTCAACCCCGCCACGCCGACCACACCCAAGCTATCCTACGCAGTACGCACGTCCTGTCCTCTGTCTCAGCTACCTGTAATTTGTGGCTAAGAGTTGTGCCACCAGGCGGCAGCACCCGTCGGCCTATCGGCCTATAGCTGTCGCCACTGCTGCACCGAGCGATGAGCGTACTCATCTCGGCCACACTACCTATACCTATATTTCTCAACACGCTCCCCCTTGGTGAATAGCGTTACATTGAGCGCGACATCATTCACCAACACATACGATACACACACGATACATGTACAATAAAAAATGCCATAACATCGCGCCGCGGCAGGCAGGACAAGCGGACCGGGACCAGGGGGAGGATGAGGCGGCCGGTCTAGGACGACTCTGGATCAGAGACCTCCAAGTCATGGAGCCGCTGCACTGCTCTCGTCTTTCTGCCCCTGCTAGTTTTAACTTCTGCGGACCTGGAGACACCATCCCTCCCTGGGAACAATTTGGTCACCACGCCCAGGTCCCACTTCATGCGAGGCTGCTTCTCATCTTGTAGAAGCACAACAGAGCCCTCCGCCAACTTACCTTGCGGTCGAAATTTGCGTACTGAGAGCGGCAAATTTCTGACATATTCCTGACTCCACACGGACCAGAACTTTCGCAGTCGCTTTTCTCTTACCTGTGACCGAGCTCTCAGCTCATCAGGTCTGACCTCAGACGGGTCCTCCGCCTCTTTGGCCAAAAAGCCTACGCTGTGACCCGTCAGGAAGTGGTTGGGGGTTAATGGTACTGGATCGTCTGGTGAATCACCAACAAAGGTGAGTGGCCGCGAGTTGACACACCCTTCAATCTCCGTCAGGGCAGTCTCTAACTCGGCCCTACTGAGGTGTCGCTGGCCCAGGGATTTTTTGAGAGCACTTTTCACACTACGCACCATGCGCTCGTACTGCCCACCCCACCACGGAGCGAGGGGGGCAGAAAACTTGAACCTGGGAGCGAGACGCCCGAAATATCGCTGCATCAGCTTCTCAGCAGCCTGGAATGTACGGGCATTGTCGAGATACACAACTGAAGGCACGCCTCTCCTGGCGGCAAATCTGCGAAAAGCCAACATAAAATCATCCAGAGAGAGTGAGTCTACTAACTCTAGGTGTACAGCACGCACCTGCGAGCAACAAAACAAACAAATGTAAAGCTTCTTGTCAGGATAATCCACAGCAAAGATTGGCCCTGCGAAATCGCACCCACAGACCTGAAACGGCCTGCTCTGAGTAACTCTGTCTCGAGGGAGAGGGGCGGCGGGCTCACAGCACGGCTGAGAATCCTGCCTGCGGCACGCGACACATCCCCTCACGACCCGTCGTGCGATGGTGCGCAGACCCACGATCCAGAACTCTGATCTCACTGCAGTTATCAGAGTTGACACACCAGCATGCTTCATACACAGGTGCTGCTCACGAACAATCAGGACGGCCAGGTGACCTTTTGGCAAAATCACCGGGTGCTTTTCCTCGTAGGAAAACTCTGACAACTGCAAACGGCCGCGCACACGTAGCAGCCCGTCATAGCCGAGAAACGGCGTCAGTCTGTAAATCTGGGAACTTCGGTGCACCGGACTGCCCTGCCTGAGCAGTTTCAGTTCTTCAGGGTAACTGTCAGCCTGCACCAAGCGTAACAGCTCCACGCGAGCCGTCGAGAACTCCTCGGCTGAGAGATCTCCCTGACGGCGCTGCGATCTTTGTCTCACGTTGTGAACAAATCTCAAGATCCAGCCCATGACACGGGTTGCTCGGCTGAGCGTACTGTAGCGCTCCACCTGCAGAAAATCGGATGTGTTACCCGCCGCTACACTCGCCGCCGTGAAAACACCAACATTGTCACAAACAATTGACTCTGGTAGGGAATCCAGAGAATCAGCCTCTTGCTGACCATCAGTGTCAAGGTCCTGTCCCTGGTCCGGAGTCGAACCCGGCTCTGCGTCTGGTCTCTGCGGGACAGAAGTGCTCTCGGTCATATCCAGACCAACCTCCGGCTCTCGCGTCACGCTCGGATCACCATCAGCCTCCCTCAACCAGTCGGGTCCGCTGATCCACACAGGGGATGCCACCAGATCCTCTGCTAACAGGCCGCGTGTCATGAGATCCGCCGGATTTTCGGCTGACCTGCAGTGCAACCAGTTCTTTGTGTCAGTAAGCCGTTGGATCTCGCTGACCCGGTTGGACACAAACTGCTTCCACCTGCTCGGGTTACCACGTAGCCATCCCAGAGCAATCATGGAGTCACTCCAGCACCTGTACGGTGTGTCAGCAGGCAAGTGCAGTGCCGTACGAACAAACTGCACCAGTTGAGCCGCCAGCACACAGGCCGAGAGCTCCAAGCGCGGCATCGTGAGCCGCTGACGCAGGGGGGCCACCCTCCCCTTCGACATGACGAAGGAGACGCTGTACGAGTCATCAGGCTGTTTGATACGGATGTACACACATGCACCATACGCCTTTGGGGATGCATCAGCAAATACACACAGCTCGAGAGACGGTGCAGCTGACCAGTCTGAAACAGAGTGCACTGTGAAACATCGTGGGACCTTCATGTTCTTCAAAATCCGACAACCGTCCAACCACCTGGTGAACACCTCTGCATAGTCAGGCGGCAGCTCATCGTCCCACTCCAGCTGGAGCTCCCACAGCTCCTGAAACAGGCATTTAGCGACCACACTAAATGGCGTCAAAAATCCTACTGGATCGAAGATCCGCGCCATCATGCTGAGGACCACACGCTTCGTTGGCACTATGCCAGCAGGCAGCTCGTCTCCTGTGAAAGAGAAAACATCCTCCTCCTTACACCAGGTCACCCCAAGAACCTTCATCACACTTTCTGTAGTCACATGTCCCTTTTGACACTTTTCGGCCAGCACAGATGAGTTGCTGTTGCACTTGGACAACTCCATCCCAGCCGCTCTCATAATCTCATGAGCCTCCTGGAACATCTCCACAGCACCCTGTTCTGTATCCGAGCCTGACAGCAGGTCATCAACATACAGCGACTCTTTCAGTTCGGTGACGACCGGACTCTCTGGGTACAGCGACAGGTGATACCTGATGGTGGCGTTCATTAAGAACGGGCTGCAGGCGACACCCATCGTCACCCGCTCGAACCGCATGGTCCGAATCTGGCCCCCTTGTCTCCATAGGAAGCGATGGGCATCTCGGTCATGTGACGTCAGACGAACCTGGTGAAATGCTTTCACAATGTCAGCCGAATACCCGAACCGCCATCGTCTGAAACGAAGTAACACCTCCAGCAGGTTCGGCATCAGAGAGGGTCCCACATGGACTACATCATTCAAAGAGATACCGTTGGGTCCCTTTGCACTAGCGTCAAAGACAGGTCGCACCTTTGTTGTGCTACTGGTTTCCTTAACCACTGGTCTGTGCGGGAGATAAAACATGACGTCACTGGTCGTCATCTGATCAGGTGGCACCTCACTGATGACACTATCACTTACCATCTGACTGAGAGCTGAATCATAGTCAGCTCGCAGCTGGGGGTTCCTGTCCAGTTTGCGCTCTAGACTCATCAGCCGCTTTTGTGCGGAATCACGATTCTCCATCAACTGACTTTTGTTGTCCCTCCAGGGCACACTAACAACGTACCTGCTGCCATCATACTGGATGGACTTGTTGAACGCCTTCAACACGGCATCATCATCATCAGACTCCATCTCAGTACCAGGATCAAACCCATCCCGAGACCACATCTCACTAGCACTGGGAGTTGGGGCGGTCATCAGAAGCAGTTGACATCCCATACCTGAGTCAACACCAGCAGGGCCCCCTCCACTGAACCAGAGAGGACCCACCCAAATGGTGTCTCCATAGCAGCCAGCCCGTCAGGGCCTCTGACAAGTCCAGATCTTACCAGTGACCAGTACTGGTCTTGTCCAACAACAATGTCAATGTGCAGTGGGCAGTCCGACGTGCAGTCTGCTGCGAGCTGGAGATGGCTGAAGGGCTGGAGGAGCTGGGCAGGGACTCGAGGCCGCATCAGTGGCGCGCATATCACTGGCACCTCCACCACTCGAACTTTAGTAGCTGTCGGCACACAAGCAGCATTTGCGGCAGAAACATTGAGCTCATACACATTACACACATTTGAGGTTCTACCCCCACCAAACGATGCACATGTTATGTCCACTGACCCCTGATACTCCCCTTTCACTTGTTTCATCAGCCTCTCGGTCACAAAACTCTTGTCAGCCCCACTGTCATAAATCAGGGTAGCAGGTACAGGGCCATCTTTGCCCTCAACAAGTACCTGAGCAATGGGAAGCAGTGACACGCTCCCCGTAGTACAAGACAGAGACACTCTAGCTTGTGGCTCCTGACATGACTGAGTCGTTCCCCCATCAGACCGCTGAGGTCTGAAGGAGGTGGACTGAGGAGGTCTACCTGCACCCTCACCACCCCTGGATCCCACTGGGCCATCAGTTCCCCTACACCAGCACAGTAGAGGGTGGTGTCTGCCACCACAGTCACATCTCTTAGCGCACTGTTTCGCATGATGTCCAGTCTGCAGACAGGACATACACACATTTTTAGCCCTTACTTCCTAGTTCCTGGTACCTTGCCTTTGGATCAATCGACAAAAAGTGAGCACACTTAGCTGGCACATGCTGTCCTCCGCAGAAGGAGCAGACTGGAGAGACAGCCTGGAGAGCCGCAGCAGCTGCAGGGGCTCGTTGGTGCAAGGCTCTCTGTGGTCGGGTCACACGTTGGCTGCGCCTCGACTCCGAGGCAGCAGGAGCAGCCAGGTGCTGAGAGTAGGCACCTGATCTCTCGCGTCGCCCGATCTCTGAGTCAAGGAACTCCAGCAACCAACTCAGGTCACTCTCATGTCCAACGCCATCCCGTGCCCACTCCATCCTAATGGCAGATGGCAGTCTTTGTAAAATCACAGGTACTAGCATCACACCATATGCATCACCCTTCACACCTAGCGCCTCCAAAGCCCTCACATGAGTCAACAGCTTATCCTGTAAGCCCCTCAGAACATGCACGTCAGGTACAGAGGGGGCAGGGCAGGCTGGCACGGTCCGCCGACAGCATGTTTATTAATCCCACCCAGAAATGACAAACAAAGCCTCTGATTGGCCAGTTTTGGCTGACAGACGCAGAATATTTGTCAGCCATAGAATACTATGCTTTAGCACTCTTTCAATAATGACGCATACGTTACATTTACAAGTTAGGGCAGCTAAAATATTGTAATGGATCTTACATGTTAAATATAACATTTTTTGGAAGCCCGTGCCCCGTACAGATTGTTTCTAGCGAGTTAGGTGTTACAAAGTATTGAAAGAAATGATTGTTCTCTATTTAATAAAGAGCAAAAGCTTTTAGCCACTAACATCCGCCCGACAGTCTCCAGAATCCTACGTACGGGGACACCGCAGTCTCGGTTTCTTATGTTATCGCAATGGGGAAAAATTGAAATTTTAAATGAGTCAGTATCGTGTTAAGAAGTACGGATGCTTTCAAACTAAATGCCTTTCAATTCAAATTCCAGAATATCCTTTCGCGGAAATAGCCCTTCTCAGCCTGTCGGCCCATTCTCTAACGCTACAAGTCTGAACAGTGAGCGTCTCATGCGTTGCTCACGTATCGCGATAAAAAGGACGGTGTCATATAATCAAATGAACTTTTCTTATGCATAGAGCATTTGAAACCTCACACCAAACGTCTCCCTTCCTTGTTTTCTACTGCTGCCTTTCACATGCCTACCCAATGACCGTTCCAGCTCGACGTTCCTTATCGACTGCCTCACATTCAACGGCCATATCCCACCTACGCTGAAAACCAATCGGAGGCACTTTCAATAGTCCCTTGAATAAAATTGCTACCTACACGCATTTAGAGGAGAACGAGGCCCAGAAAAGGCATGCATAAAACGATCGGTTTTGGCCCCCATGGAATAAGCCAGGACGTAACATCATATTGATTGAAGAACATTTTCGAGGAGATGACATCTATTATATATTATTTTGCAAAAATATTGTGAACATAACGTCCGCGTATCGCAGCTCTGAATCTGTTGGTGTCAGTCCCATGCAGCAGCCACCAGACCACCGCCCCGCCGCCTGCCGTTCGCTGATCATACAGGCCGGCTGTCCCAGTGTCTCATCAAACGATCACAACTGACTCAGTATTTATAAAATGCCAAACAAAAACAGACGCACAATATTATAGATCATGCCAGCTCTTTCAGTCATGCGCGTGGAGATATATCGGTAGTTTTCCTATCACAGATCACACTGAACAGAGCATAAGCGTAGACACGCAACAATAAATAATGCATTATCAAGTACACCGATCGATGCATCGTGGAATACACCGAATAATACACCACTGCTTTAGCGTTCCCCCAGGTGGGTGGGGGCGTTTTCGGTCACACCTGACAATTTTGTGCTTGCATAAATAAAACGACACGCAACTCAGTATAACTTATGTAGGTATATTACATCGATTCGCATCATTTGTGAAAAAATGTAACCCCATGTCACCTAAGGTCAGGTCAGGTCACCATGACGTAGAAGTTTGAAACTCGAGCTATTGCATGAGAGAATCAGAACCAACATCTTGAATATCTTTAATTTTGATATCGGTGACCTAGGGTCAGGTCAACTTTGCGACGTCTCCAGTCTCAGTCAGTATGAGAAACTCGAAATGTTCTGCTTTTGAAACAAAAACACTCAAACATCGGGATTTATCGTATGCTCCTGAGGTCATCTCAGGTCATGTAACGTCTCCAACAGTTTATTTTTGTACATTGATTTTAGATGGAACGTGGCCAGAGCGCTAAAAACATCATAATCATAGGCGGCGGAACGGGGAGGGCACCGGGGCACCGTGCCCCCTTTGATTTTGGCATTTTAACATTAGCCCTATGGGCGTTGCATGGAAAGAATGAGACAAAAGTCGGCAATGTCCCCTTAATTGAAGGTGTTCCGCCGCTACTGATGTTAATCTCAATTTCAATGTAACGAATCGATGACATGCAATATGGCATTTTCTGCGACATTGACCTGAGGTAAAATTTATTAAGTTGACCTTGTAAGGTCAACAAGACGAGAGAAACGCAGTGCCGGTAAAATCAACGTAATAAAAGGTTGGTATCAAAAGTTTTAAAAGAAAAGACGATTTCCGAAGCAAGCCGATTGTTCAGTTTTGGCCCTTTGGAGGCTTAACCCTAGTTGACCTTAGCTCAAATCTAAGAACCTGAAAGATTTTCGAAAGAGCTATCGAATTCGCTTTTCCGCGGCGCTGTAGCTTCTTTGGTTCCCGAGTTACGAACCAATTCGTGAAGTTGTCAAAATCGGGAGCCAAAATTCGTCATCATCTTACTTTTGGTAACCTCCAGTGACCTCAGCGATGACCTGATCGAAAATGACCTGTATGATTCTGAAGAAAAATAGCGAGCTACATATTAATTTTACTGCGTCTTTCCAGCTGCGTCTTTACTACGCCCCCCCCCCCCCCCCACCCCACCAACTTGGCTGAGGGCCATCCGGGCGCGGGTTAATAACATGGCGCAACAAGTTTTGTTATCAACTTGTCCTTTTCACACATAGTGACACTAGATATTACAGCCAACGCCTATCACCAACCTGGTGGTGGGCTTTGGCCAGCGATCGCCGATCGGGGCCAACGCGGGCTCTTACTCGTCCACAATCAGCACGAATGATGAATTACAGCTGCTCCAGACCGGCCACTTCAATCCAGCGTGTAATCCCCAGTCCACATAAGAACCACTAGTGAAACTCTGAGTGGGCCAACTGCACTGCATCTTTGACCTTTGCAGCTCTGACTTTTCAGAATTTGAACAGCCTTCTCTTTCCCACCCTTCTGTGCTGATGAATGATGATCCTTTGGAAACCTGGAAAAAAGACAGTACAGACTCAGGGAGATGAAACTGTTTTGCTATGGGTCTGTTCCAGTCGCACTTCCTAACACATCTAAACTCCTCCAAGAGCAAGATAGAGGAGGTTGGAGCCAGGGCTGCGGAGTCGGAGTCGGAGTCGGAGTCGGTCGGAGTCGACAGTTGTGACCGGAGTCGGAGTCGGAGTCGGAGTCGATATTGGAAACCCCAGCCGGAGTCGGAGTC